TCCTTTCTTTATTTGTGCAAAGCATGTAGTATTATCCTATATAATAAGGTCAAATTTCTTATAATTGATGTAAGGCCTCATGTTCCATGAACATGTTAGATTAAAGATCTTAACTATACACATTCTCGATTTGCCTCAAAAAGTGCAACCAATTTTAAGTGATTTGAGAATGTGGCTACAACGGTTTGTTTGGTTGGACATAGAAATTTTTGTACCACCATACATGAACAATTACCCAATTTGTAATCATTCTTTATGTAGATCAAACAAATATCCATCATCTTTATATCCAATTAACTCTAGTTTTGAGTGTTTTGAATAAAATAATCCCATGTTTTTCAATCTTTGAAGATAATGATAGAAATGTTTAATGTCATTCTAATGTCTTCATGTTGGTGCAGAATTATATCTTGCTTTTACATTCATAGAAAATGTAATATCAAGTCCTGCATTATTAGCTAAATACATCAATGCACCTATGGCACTCAAATATGGTACTTCAAGACCAAAGATTTCTTTGTTATCTTCCCGAAGTCAAAAATGATCTTTCTTTACATCAAGGAATTAAATAATCATTGGTGAGCTTAAAGGATGAGTTCTATTTAGGTTAAATATCTTTAATATCTTTTCTACATAATTTGATTGATGGACAAAAATTTCATTTGATAAATGCTTAATTTGTAAACCAAGACACTACTTTGAAATCTTTCATCTCAAATTCTTTCTTTAAACATTCAACTACTCTTTCAAGCTCTTTAGGTGTTCCAATGATATTTATGTTGTCAACATATACTAGAATGATAGCAAAACCAAGTTTTAATCTCTTGGTAGAGACACATGGACAAATAAGATTGTTTTCATATTCTTATTTTAGGTGATATTCACTAAGGCAGTTGTACAACATTCACCTTGATTGTTTTAATCCATACAAAGGTTGTTTTAATTTTTTTGAAAATATCTCTCTTGGCATTGAGTTGTATGCTTTAGGGATCTTAAGTCCAATAGAAACTTTCATATAAGTTGTGGCCATACTAATTATTATCATACAAGGTTGCATTCACTTTAAGTAATGGGGTTGAACTTGTAGGTTGTGATTGATGATTTTTTTATCAAAAACTCATTATTTTGTTTAATAACAAGAAGACATGATATTAATTTCAAATATTTTTTAAAGCTACGCTTTCGATATGGTTGTTGAAGGAGCAAATTCAAGGCGTAAAAAGTGGAGAATGTTTTCTTTAACATGTTTTTATTACTAATATTTTCTCCACATAATTTCAATTAAGATAAAATTTGAAATATTGCAAAGTTATAATCACTGATAGATTTAAAATCTTACAACAACAAATGCATCCATTCATAATGAACTTGTGGCAGGATCACTAATTTTTTATGATCAAATTTTTCTTTCAAATTTTGCCATAATTCCAATGTATCTTTAATTGTCAAATATTTAGCCTTTAATCCCTTATGGAGATGATGGTGAAGGAATATCATCCCTTTAGTGTGATCTTGTAAGGATGCTTGATTCACTTCAACAATTGTTTCTCCAAGATTGTTTATAGCCAAGTGGATTGCAGCATCAAATATCTATGGCGAATAATTTGAGCCCATTATGTCTAAGGGCAACAAATTGAAGTTTTGTCAAGTTTGACATTATGGTTACAAAATTTTGTTAAATATTTGTTGTGTTTAATTTTTGATGATTACCAAAATTAAGTGTAGACTAAATATTTGGGATACTAGCATTCAAGTTAAAAGATTATGCTAATATCTTTAGACTTCAAGACCACATTCATATTTGGAAACAAGCTTATGAAATAATATACACTTTCATTTTTGGAAAGGATATTAATCTCTTTTAATATTTCTATGGATAGAGATTGGACTTCCTAATTTGGGATTACATTCAATGAAGATTTAAGCTTTCAATGTTCTAGAATATATTAAATAAGTTCCAGAACTGTTAACAAAATCCTAAAGCAAAATGAATCAAGGACTTTCCATTCTAGGCTATAACAGTCAGTTTGACTTGGATTTAAGTGTGAGGGGTATAAAAAGGAACTCTGGAAAAGGCAGAATAATTAACCGTAACGCTAGTGCAAACTTGGGAAAAGGAGTTCAATTCTTCAAGCTTAGTTCTCTATGCTTCATCTTTGTTATTTAATCATCTAAGTGATAAATAGTGTTTAGGGTATTTGGGGGAATCCGTTTTATATCTAAAAAACCTTTCTAGTGGTTAGAATTGAGCTTTGAGAGAGATTGTAACAAGAGGACAAGTTGTTGAAGGTGAATAATGTCGATAAAGCTATTATGCATGGTTGCCTCTATACCTGCAAGTTGGAGGAGAATGTTTGAATTCAAACTAAATTCTTAAGTAGGAGGCTTGAGGAGAAACTAGGCACAAACTGTGAACCACTATAAATCATCATGTGTGATATTCTCTTCCTTTATTCTTTTAAGTTCCATACTTTAGTTTAATTGTTTATGTCCGTACTTGCTTGTTGATCGATTTGATTACAAAATTAAATAAGTCTTTTAAGAATCCAATTAACCCTCTCTCTTAGGTTGCCATCTTTTGAGCCAACAATATTAATATAATACAGAAGCAAATTGAAACTAGAAAACAAAGATTTACCTTAAAATCTTACCATAAATTGGATAGTGGAGACAATTGTGCTAATAATATATTATAAAATAAAAGGAAAATAACAGATAACAAAGCTTTGTAGTAGGAATGTCTTATTTCATCATATACTATCATGCCCAAATAACACAAATTTGTAAGCCTATATATAGGCTAAAGGAAATGTGGGGGCTACATTGGCCATTAAATAGGACTATATGGATGAATGAATGGCACTATGACAGTTTAATGAGGCTTTGAATGACTTTTAGTGGAGCCAAGAATGATACCTTATTAGGGATGAGTTACAGCATATAAAAGGGTGAATGTGAAGATAAAGCATCTATCTATAAGAAAATTCACAATAAATATTATGCAACTTGTATTGATAAGTTCTTAGTGGCTCAATGAGTTAGATCTTTTGTTTACACCAAAAAAGTAGTCAATTCAAGTCCTTAGGATACAAGATTAATATGTTATATATCTGTTAAGAAAATGGAAATACAAGACTCTCTATCCAAAAAATGGCGAAGACGTCCTTAACAAAGCATTCCTTTTTCTCTTTCTTACAGTTTTTGCTTCGGATGACAATTATAACGCATAGAGTGGCCAAGACTCTCATGTGACATGTTATCTTACTGAAAATCCCAAAATAAAGGGACTAAAAAGGTTTTTTTTTTTTTTTAAGTAAAGGGATAAAAAAATAGGCTTCTTTTTTAAATAAAGGGGCTAAAAAAAGTCCCTTTTTTATCATTTTACTTTGAAATTTTCATCATGTAACATGTTACTTATACAAAAAATAACAAAGACTAAAAAAAGATTAGATTTTAAATTTTCTGGGCTAAATTTTTTTTAAAAATAAAGAGACTAAAAAAAAACTTTTTATTAAAGTAAAAAAACCAAAATAGAGTTTTAACTTTTTATTTAAGATGTCCTGGCGATTTTTTTAAGGAGTACTATATTTCCTTTTCCTACTATTTTATAATAAATAAATTTCAGCTCATAAAATGAAGAGTATTATGCTCTTTATTATTAAGATTTAAGATGGTGGATCATTTAATTCTTCTTGTTGGCTTTATTATTATTATTTTTTGTCTTACTTTTAATGAGATAAATAAAATATTAGAGAAGCCCACGGTGGCCCAAGTGGCTACCACAATATTGTTAGAGGCTTCTCACCTAAGGGTGTGGGGTTCAATCCCCACCCCTTTCCCTTCCCCCTTCCCCAAATTACCTATGTTCAAAAAAAAAAAAAAAGATAAATAAAATTTTAAGTAATTAAACTATTTTATAATTAATGAATTTCAGCTCATAAATTAAAGAGTTTGTACTCTCTATCAAATGGTACGAGCCTTTATTATTAAATTTTAAGATAGTGGGTCGTTTAAGTCTTCTTGATGGCTTTATTATTATTTTTTTTGTCTTACTTTTAATGAAATAAATAAAATTTTAAGCAAATAAACTATTTTATAATAAATGAATTTCAGCTCACAAATTAAAGAGTATTGTACTCTCTATCAAGTGGAACAAGCCTTTAATAAATTTAAGATGGTGGGCATTTGGATTCTTCTTAATGGCTTTATTTATTTATTTATTTTGTCTTATTCTTAATGAAATAAATAAAATTTTAAGCAAATAATATCGTTAGAAAGGTGTGATGCTCTAGTGGCAGAAGTTGACTTAACCCTTGGGAAACCCTCTAATTCTTTGTCTTAAAGGGCATTAGCCATTCAACTTACACTTTTTGTACTTCAACTCATAAATTTTACGTTATTGTTATAGTTGGTCTAAAATAAATAAAATTCAATCATATGAGTCATGTATTTGTTTCTACTTTGCTATGCTATCTTATCACTACCATGCTAACATGAATATCCTCTACTTAGATCTACAGAGGTAGGAAAAATCTTTCCCATGATGAGATTTATGTGGGCAGAACCCTCAAATCGCCCCTTAGAAAATATGGGTAGGACGGATCTACCTTCCAAAAAAAAGCAGGGACAAAACGCACTCTCAAATTATCGATTAATACAAATACCCTATTATTTAACTGCTGACGTCATTACCGTTAAAAAATTCGTTTGCTCGTGCTGACATGGCTATTTTTGACACCGTGGCTAATGGACCTCATTCTTTTTCCTTTTTAACCAATATTTCCTAAATTAACCTTCATATCCACGTAAATTTATGAAATTATGCCATTCCTCAAACGCATATCCAGGCTTCTGTGTTTCTATTCCCATTTCTCCACCTTCTTTTTGAGCTAGATCTACAAGCCTCAATGTCCTTCATGACTAGTCAAGCAAGACAGCATAAGAGAAAATCTTAATGGTGAATAATTGTGAAAAAGAGAAAGTCTTTATGGCAAATAATTAAGAAAAAAAAATGAAGAAGAAGAAGAAACCCATGAAATCTCACAGTTATTGTTTTCAATGCCAGTAAATATTTTTTAGAAGTTCAAAGGCCAAAAAACAATGAAATGAACTAAATTTTCTTGAGAAACAAGAACAAATCACTACAGAAACATAATTTTATGAAAAGAAGAAATACCCAAATGAAAAACTTACCTCAGAACAATGAAAAATACCCAAATGTCTAGGTTCGCAACGAACCTCACCTATAGTTGCTTACATCACCTTTCACCAACCCAAAGTTCAAAACTCATAAAAGAATCAACGCTTGCTTCCTAATATTCACCTCTCCCGTACCGACCCAAAAGCGGCCAAGCAGCCATAGTAGACTATGAAGTGCCCGACCGCCCGCCGCCACCACCCCAACCCTCCGCCTTTTCTCCACCTTCCTAGCGATGGATCAGGCCAACTCCTTACTCTCCCTCACGAGGTATGTCTTTGAACCTCTAATTGCAGCAGCTTCGACTGCATCTTAGCCCCTTATTTTGAAATCTCTTTATTGAAAATTGGTGGTCATCTTGCAAAATGTGTGAAGGAGGATCATTGACAAAAAGACTGCAGAAGTTTGTTTGGGATCATCTTCTCAAAAACTCTATGAGTAATTAGGTTTGATTTTCTCAAAAATTTCTTTGAGATTTAGGGTTTCGATTTTTCTTTTTCGTTTATTACAAGGAGATTTATTTGGGAAATTAGGTTTGGTTCCTAATCGGTGAAATGAGAAATGGGGAAATTAGGTATATTGTGGAACCTAGATGATGTGGAAAGTAAAAAAGAGACGGACCCATGGGACATGGTGTGAAAAAATGCACAAATGGTACACGTAGTCTCCAGGTGTAAGAAAAATGCCATGTCATCATAGGTCAAATGGAATTTTTAACTGTAACGACGTCATCTGTTAAATAATGATCCATTTGGATGAATTGATATTTTTAGAGGTTCAAATGTCCTGCTTTTTTTTTTAGGGTGAATCCGTCCTACCCATACTTTCTAAAGGGTGATTTGAGGGTTGTGCCATTTATGTGTGCTTTAAACAAGATTTTTTTTATCTCCATAACCTTCAATAAATCATATTTATGTCAATATAGTGTTAATGTGGATAAGGTAACGGAGTAAAAAGAGCCATGTGGCTCATATGATTAGATTCTATTCTTTTTTTAAGTTAATTATAATAGTAATGTGAAGTTTAATAAACAAGTGCAAAATGCATTGAATGGGGTTGTTCATGTCGATAGAAATTTGCTAAAAGCCTTTATGAAGTCGAATGTTCAACCTTCCTATAGATTGTTTAAAAATATCTTATTTTAATTTATTAACAAATAAATATTACTTTTTAAGTGTATTTTTAGTGATTTTAAGATATAAATTTCAAATAAAATCAATAATTTATATGAATAATAATTAAAAAGTCTTTTATTCTTATATGAAGTTCTAATTAAATATTTTTATTTGATAAAATTTTTTTTCTATTTATATAATATATTAAATTTTTATTTAAAATTTATATTTAAAAAATTAAAAAGTTTTTATATGAATAATAATTAAAAAGTCTTTTATTCTTA